TAAGGCTCGCTATCACACGAGAGCCCTAGCAAACGTGCTCAGAGGAGCTATGAGAACAAGTAGGCCGTGTCCTTCCTTGGCGACTGCGCACTGGCTGTGGCCTTCTGGCGTCCAGTGCACTCCCAGCTTCCGTCTCTTCTGCAAACCTCACCCTCCTGGCAAATTTCCTAATGGTTATGCCAGGTCCAGGAGCCAGGGTGCAAGGGGATATTTTGCAACAGGGCATATCATTAACCCCCAAGATAAAACCCAGTGGCCTTGAGCAAGTCAATTCTCCTCGTGTCAGAGTCTCCATCTCCAAGATAGACCAGCTGGGGAAAAATATCTATTTCTAGCTATAGATGGGATGCTTCCTGCAGCGCTGATGCAGGCTTCCTGATCTTCCACAGCTCCCCTCACTTATTCTGTTAGAGAACTATCCTCTGCAAACATATGTAAGCCTCGTCTTGAATATAAGCTGTGTGTGTGTCACTTTTCTCCGCACAGTATATAATTAATGAGTCATCTGCACAGGATGTCGGAAAAGTCCGGCCAGAGAAATCAGGAGAGCTGAAGGCTAATCTTGATTTCAGAATAGTGATAAGATGAAAACAAAATAATATAACCTATGCCTCACTATAAATTATGATCCAGGCTAATTTTTCCCTTAACGTGAAGAGAAAAAAACTATTTTCTGTTAGTATAAATCTAAACTAAACCCAGCGTTGTATAAGAACGCAGTATTGAGATGTCTCCAGATCAGTCCCCTGGGTGTCTCCCCTCTCGATTCTACCCACACTTTTTTTCTAATCATAAAATATTTTCTCCTCAAACAATAAATCTGCTTCCCACCCAGTGAGAGCCACATGATTTGTCTTTTAGTGGCTTGGAAAGAGGTAATGACATTTTGATCCTGGGAGCTGGTGGTCTGTGCCATAGGACATATCATACCATAGGACACTTTTGTTTGCCTACTGGTAACCTTTGTCCCAGGGTCACGCTGGGTGTTAGGCTGTGGCCTGAAGCCTTTGTAGAAGCATGTCCATCGGCAGGGATTCCCAGGAGCCCGTGTGCACTTGGTTCTACGTAGCAGAAACTGACACAGAGAGGCCCATGTGGTTTGTGTATCGTTCTAACAGGCGTACACAAAACACAGGTTACAAAAGCTGTTCCTTTATTCATGGATTGGTGAGCACATACGATGCTTTTCTGATAAATGCTTTTTTTCCTGGGGATTGTTTATCATAGCAGCTGGTCACCTTCTGTGTTGTTTTATTGCTTACATCCAGTGAGAGCACAAGGTGGAATACAGATTGTTACGTGTTACCAAAAACTTACGTTTGTAATAAGGAGCATACACAATGCCATACCAAAGTGAGTTTATTGACATTCCTTGAAGGTGGTGTGATGGAAGAGAAAGCGAGGCCTGAGTATCACGTGACATTTATCTTGTTGGTGTGAGCAAAATCAGCCCAATAACGTGGACTGCTTCTGCTATTGACTAGAACAAAGACTTTTAAACAAAATTGTTATAGACATATCCTTAGATAAATTGGAAGCTGCAGGAAGTAGGCTAATGGAACAATATTTACTCTATATACTACCTCTAGGCACCTTTTTTTCTACTATAACAAAGGGACTACATGTCACTAACAGGAAAATAACACTTTCTCTTTTGAACCTTATGATGGCTGGAACATCCATCCCAGATTTTTATGATATAGTATTGCAGTAATTTTAATAATGAACACTGAAGTACATAATAATAATAATAATAATAAAAGCACCACATTTGTTATGTAAAGTTCTAACTACTTTCATTTGAAAGTGTTTCATCTTGACTGGGAAAACATTTGTGGCAATAGAGAAATTTTCTGAACCCAAATTTTGAACACATGGCTTGACACATGGACTGACAGGCGATTGATGTAACATTAGAACTGTCCTGGAAAACTCAGCTCATTGGCTTGTCATACAAACACACTTACTGTTAAAGGACATTTGGTGATATGTTAATATTGAAAGAAAAAAAAGATTTGGATGCTGCATATTTAAAGCCTGCCCCACAAATCACATATCTCTTTTTCCTCATTTTCTCACCACCCTCCCAGCATTTCCACGACCTCCACCAGTTTATAGACATAGAAAGTGACAAAGAAATTTGCAGATTTGGAATACCTCTTCTGACCCTGCAGAGTCAATTTCTTTTTTCACGATTATCATCTTCATATCATAGAATAAAACATTTGCAATAGCCATGAAATTATGATGATACCTTATAGAATTTTAAAAGCATTTTTCAACATTGTAATAGAAATGTCTCTTATGTATTGTTCTTGTCTGTCTCCTAATTAAGGGTATTTATACTCTTACGAAAACTAGACCTAAAAGATCTTGTTTTGCGGAGGCTGTGGCTTATAAAGTGATTAATTTTGCAATTTGCCTCCATGGAAAAAGCTCATGGTTTAAATTAAAAAAAATTATGGGTGGTAACAAATAGATCTGCCTTATCAATTGAATTACATGATTTGGGGAGTTTTATACCTCTACCCGGTGAAATTAATGGCATAATTTAGTTCTATTTTATATGCATTTATATATGCATATAAAATTAAAAATTATATATTATTTAAAATCACCCTCATATATGAGGTAGAAAGGATCTTTCCATAACTTGTTTCTGAGCTCCTCTTCTGTTTTCCTCTGTGAGGACTCTCTGCAAGGCTGCAATCGCATACTGGTGCCGTTGAGCAAGCTTTACATTCTTTCAGATGACATTGATGTCAGTATTTCTTTATGGAATTTTGCACTTTTTTTTTTTTTTTTTTTGGAGACAGAGTCTCGCTTTGTTGCCCTGGCTAGAGTGAGTGCCATGGCGTCAGCCTAGCTCACAGCAACCTCAATCTCCTGGGCTCAAGCAATCCTGCTGCCTCAGCCTCCCAAGTAGCTGGGACTACAGGCATGCGCCACCATGCCCGGCTAATTTTTTTTTTTTGTATATATATATATTAGTTGGCCAATTAATTTCTTTCTATTTATAGTAGAGATGGGGTCTCGCTCTTGCTCAGGCTGGTTTCGAACTCCTGACCTCGAGCAATCCGCCCACCTCGGCCTCCCAGAGTGCTAGGATTACAGGCGTGAGCCACCATGCCCAGCCAATTTTGCACTTTTATGAAATACTGTTTTATCTTTGTGAGATGCATCTAGAGCCATGGCATCCGTAGTGGTGGGGGAATAAGGAAAAGCTAGTTGAAAAATCATTTATGCCAAAGTTGCCTATCTATATATAATTTCTGAGATACCACATTCCTTCTGTATATGGGTAGGTATTAATTAATCTGATTAATAGATTAATTAGATATTTATGTAAACTGTAAAGCTCTCAGGTGCAGGCTCCATCTCGGGAATAGCTTTCTCCCTTTCCAATGTCTGCTGAATAAGTACTAAAAAGAGTTGAATGCTTAAATTAATGAGTATTACGTATGTAATACTCACCAAATTCTATAGATGAAAGATGCCCCTACATAAGAGATACTGTCCAAAGAGTTAGAATAAGGGTATGGTACAATGAGTTGCATAATCCTTATGTTCTGATGTCATAAATAAATAATAGCCGCCTTGGAATCTATTACTTTTCAGATACTGAAATGCGTACTGAATTTTACATAGTCCTCAAATTCTATATAACTTACACATTTCATCCCATCGTGGTAAATATTCTTTTTGGACAACACTATAAGGCTAAATTTCTAGAACACAAAATCCCTGATCGACAACAGATACACAGCAGCAAGGGGTGCTGGCATTGTCAATAATTCCTGCTAGAATAATGTTTTGTTTTTGAGTGCAGGGAACACAAATAATGCACGGTCCAGACACAAACTGGTATAATGAGCCACAAGGCATGGCTTCATAGGAAATTCACTTTGTCTTACTTTTCTCACATTTCCCTGTTTTTTGTTTTTTTTTTTTTTTAAAGGCTGGTCAAGTGAAGCTGTAGGAGTGGAGAAGGAACAAAGGAATTTATAACTGGTTATGATCAATTAGTTGTAAACACCACTGCACTCGGACCAACCTCCCCAGTGTTTTAATATGTTAAAAACAGCAATGTGACATTTAAATAGTGGGGTATCTTTAGGTCTTCTTTTCCCAGTGAAGAAAAACACTTTCATTTATGACATATTTCAGACAACATGGATAACAAGGTTAGAAAAATAGCAAATGGCCATTGTGATTGGGTTTATTTCAAATGTAATCAAGAGGTTAGGCTGTCTTTGGAGCCTGCAACTGTTTTTCTGACAACACTGTTTTCTGAGATATGTTTTTACTGAATGCTAAAAGAAACTGGATATTTATTTTGACACAAATCAGCGTGCCTTTGGGGTGTCATGTTCCTACCCCCGAGGATTGCTACAAATGAAGAAGTACCATATTGCCCTTGGCCCCTAACAAGCACCATCACTCTCTGCAGCTTCTTATTTAGTGTGGACCTTGTGGACACTCACTGTGAAGGAACTTGAACACCATGATCCAGAAAAGAAAAAAGCACAAAAAAACCAATATCAACATTCAAACAAAAAAAGAGGTTTGTCTTCAAACCAAGTAATACCTGGCTTTAACAGAAGTTGTGAGATCATCTATACATTTTTTTTTTTCCTTTGTGAAGCAGAACTGTTGCTAGACAAAACAAAACAAAACAGTACAGAACTCAGGTATTCAAACCAATGTAATATGTCCTTCTTCCCTTTCTCCTGTTTCCGTCACCACATTCTATACACGCAGTGGGGGTTGAAGCCTCATCCTTCACGCTACATTAGTCAAGAAGATTTCCTTCTCGGACACGCACACAAGTTTGTGCTTCTTGTGTGGTGCGTATCACTAGGGGTGCTCCCCTTCTAGACTTCTCTGAACTCAGGTTGAGCCCACACACCCACAACCATTGGGATATACTGCGGTGCCTCAGCAGCAGGTGTTTTTCTTGCAGCTGTTAATTGTTGGAAGTGTCATATTTGCACCATATGTCTAGGCTAGTTCCAGGTGAGGGGACTGATGCCACATGTGATTCATGAGTTGAATGTATAAAAATTCCAGTTTTGCCACTGCTGTCCTTTGGATGGAGAGTATGCACAGGGAAAAGTGGAGAGGGAGGAAAACAAAGACTTGATCAGCTCTGGATTTGGTTGTTGGAAATTATAAAAAATGGTGGCTCTGCTCAGAAGACATGGGCATATAAAAGCTTGGAATGCTTAATGCTCAAATTTCCCCTTAAATGATAGAAATGGAAGTAAACATTTATTACCATTTGGTCAAGTGTAGCGTAACTTGCATTCATATTTCATTGTTAATAATGGAGGTATGTGGAGATATACACAGACCTTTAGACAGCTGTTGTTTTTTTTTTTAATATTGCATACAGGCTAGCAGTTCATTGAAAACAGAGGAGAGAAGCCTGAAGGTTAGATCTTAGAAGAAGGCAGTTCTTCATGCACAGCTTTTGTCAATCCTGATTTGGTTTGAAAATAAAAATCATGGAATACCAAAATCAAAGGAGAGTTGATGAAGGGAAAGGGAAGGGTGGATCATCCCAGGAAGGGTGATGTCACTGGCCAGGAAAATGCCAAGCGAGGTCCCATATCCTCACTCAAGTCCAAAGGTGCTGGTTTCTTCTACTGCTGTCAACAGCTTTTCATACAACATGGAGTAGGAGGGGTACGGCGGAAGGTCCAGCCGGTTGAAGCATGTGTGCGCCCTGCGTGGGGGAGAAGAGATTGGTAAGAGCGTTAGCTTCAGCGAGGCAGCTGGTTCTGGACACATCTGCGAGTTAGTGTGAAGTTGGGAATCCAAGAGGAATCAAAAGGGAGCAGCACCATGACTTACGACCCCTATGAAACATTGCAAATGAAGAGCCATAGTCTTTCAGAATGAGTAGACCAGCGGGAAGAATGGAATGACTAGAAATGGGTGGTTTGCCTTTGAAAGCAAAACTGCACCACCCTAGAACTACACTAGCAAACGGATGATAAAGGCTATGGTATCAGCCTGATTTTGTACTTGAGATATGAACTTTGGTGTGGTTTTAGCAAAGGAGGCAGAATATAATTAGAGTTAAAGGATTATATTCCTAAGTCTTCTTGTCTGGCTCTGATTTCTCAGCCTCCGTGAACCATGCGTGTCTGTTTAGAGGAGCCCAGATGCCCTGGAATTCTGAGACCCAGTTCTCCATTCAAGTCAGATGTGCCCCGGAGACAAGTCTGACTCCCCTACCCCAGCAGAACACGCATAGCTAAAGCTGAAGGGCTGCATTTCCAGGAAAAGCTGCCCTTGAGACAGGCCTCCCTAGAGCCTGGAGTGTCGTCCTCGAGCCACTGCCCTGGGTTCTGCCCTACTTGTTATGTGCTTCCTCCTGCAGACCCACGCTTGCCAGCATCTGCCTTACACCAGGGACGCCTTCCCTGCCACGCTGCTCACGCCCGCCCCGCCTGGGTGGGCCTCCCGCAGGGAGCACAAGGCGGCTGGCACACAGACTCCCTCCTAGGGAGCCCCAGATCCCCTGACGAGCTGCTCCCTGCCAGTTCTTTGTTTTTATGGAAACTTTTGTTGATGCTGAGTCCTGTACCCAAGTAGGGAGGAAGGTGGATGCAAGTTCATTTCATGCCTTTTCCTTCCTGGAAGGAGTGGTGTGTTGAAACGGTGTTTTGAGACACCAACCAGCATAGAAAAGGATGCTCGCAAATCAAAGCAAATCAAGTCACAAAACAAACGCACAAAGAAACAAAACTGAACTCCCTTCAGTAGCATTTTATTTGGGATAATTAAACTCTTATTTTTACTTAAAATACCCCTACGGGACTTGCGTGTTATTTATACCCTTGTTTTGAATTCTATAAATCAGAGTCCAGATCACTGCCTTGGCTGATGCAGCACTCAGGTTATGGGGGGAATTACTTTGGGATGAGGAGGATGGAAGAGGGGAGAGGGAAGGTGGACTTTCCTGTGCAGGGAGAGTCTTGGGAGGCTGCTGGTGTCTTTGTGTGGCAACAGCCCTCTCATCGTCCTTGGGGACCCATCCCTGACCCCACCTCCTCCCCGCCACTCCCCTCTCAAGCTCCAAGGTGGGCACAGGACAGCAGGGTGTCTGGTCTTAGACCTTAAAGACCTAACTGGGAAGAAACATAAAATTAGACAGAGATTAGCAGAGTTCTTATATTATTATCTAAGATTCAAAGAGGCCTATATTTACTTCAAAAGCAAATAATTGAAACATTCTACCTAAACACGAGTGTTGGTTTGAGTGAAAGGGAATTCAATAAATTGAGTACAACGATGATTAGAATGACTCCTCTCTATGTTTAGAAAGATTGAAACTAGAACATAGGCTGGGCGGTGGCTAATCAAGTTAAGTGGGGCAGAAAAATCCCAAGTGTGCTTTCGGAACAAGCTGAATCAGCCAGGAGCAAGATAAGGGCAGGCATCATCTTGGTTTTCTTCCTCTGGTCATTTTAACTGGCACTCATGAGTGGAAATATCACAGAAAGAAAATCTCACATTTACAAATTAGTTGGAACCAAATTAATTCTGTAAAAGATAATTTCTGGGCATAACCAGAAAGAATTATCAAACAGCACCTAGTCTGAATGCCTACAGTTTCTTTACTAGTTGCTCCTATTGTATTTGTCTATAGCCGTGGTTGACTCCCTTAGGTAATTTCTAGTTTGTCATTGGAGTGAACGAACACAGTCGAATCGTGACTTGATCGGCATTCCTAAGTGTCCGCCAACCTCCAGGTGTGGTTCTCACAGCACAGAGCACTTGCTCACCTCATTCCCTGGGCACCAAACCCAGCACTACCAGGTGGTGTGGGGCGGCACAGCAAGCTCAAAACAGGGCCTGGAAGATTCTGCTCTGATCTCAGTCTAGCCACTTACCAGCTTTATGACCCTGGGAAAATCAATTAATCTTTCTGAGCCTCAGTTTTCTCACCTGTAAAATGGGGATAATAATACATGCCGTGTTCACCTCAGAGGGTTGTTGGGAGGATCAACGCTAGAACACACCAGCTGCCTTATGTAACCTGTGACTCACCATTTACACAATGAGATTCTCTTACTGATGCAACCATGATTGCAATAATGATTTTAGGAACCATGTCATACTTAAGTGGCGACTTAAGTCTCTGGCCGTTTCCATGTGACCTACTGGCAAATGAGTCACTCTCATCTCGTACTCGTGCAATGGATGTTTTGAAACTCCATGGGAATCTTTTCAACCATGCCAAATTCCACCCTGTTGGTGTCAATCTAGCATTCGACCATTTGAAGGTAATTTTGGATTTGGATTGTGCCAATCACTGTATTGTGTACTCTTCTAATTGTGTCACCTACACAGTTGATCTCCGTTTTTTTCAAGTTATTGAATAAAATGTTAGCCAATACACTGCCAGAGAAAATAGTCACTCCTCTCCACTACAGCTCTTGTTAAGGTCGGTACAAAACAATCAAGAGGCAGTCAGTTGTGAAGCCAGTTACGTAAGACATGTCTTCCCTTCATGCTGGTCTTCTTCCACTGCCTAGCTACAGACTCGTTCTCTTCAGATGGGCCTTGCTCCCTTCCCTGCCAAATCTACTCTTTTTCAACTTTGTCAATAACCTCTTGATCCCCAAACCCGGAAGCCCATGCTCTACCCCCAGCTGCAAGAGCTCCTGAAAGCATTTGACAGCTCTTCCTCTTGGACATTTCCCTCCCTTGGCTTCTCTTTGGTTTCTCAGTGGCTGCCATTTTTTCTCCCAAGTTCCCTGAAGGTTCCCAGGAACCTTCTCTGTAGGTCCTTATCCGCTACAAAGCAGGGGTTCTCACCTTCGCACTGTTGGCATTTTGAACTCGATAATGCTTGGTGATGCTGCCCTGTGCATTGTAAGATGTTTAGCAGCATCCTGGGCCTCTACCCACTAGATACCAGTAGCACCGCTTCCCCACAACCAAAAATGTCTCTAGACATTGCCAAATGTCCCCTTCCTTCCCCACCCCAACCTTGAAAATCATGGCTAGAGAGTAAGCCGACTGCCTCCTAAACAAGGCCTCCAACTCCATCCACCCTGGGCCTGGGCTCCGTTCACATCTGCAGTGAAACATGTGCATATCACAATTTTGTTTGCAACTTTTAGGCCAGTGAGTTGCCCATGACCCATAGCTCTGATATCCTTGGTCCCCGCCCCAGAGGTGAACTGCTATGGTTTCCTCCTCTCCTTTATTCTACCTCCACACTGCCCTGGGCTACATCTACTCCGACCTGTTCTCCATGCTTCATTTTCCTTCCAAACCCTTCCTCTGTCCCCCTTGAGCCCTTGTTCAAAGTAAGGAAGCTCTCCCACCGCCGTAAGCTCTTTCCAGATGTGGCCCCATCCTTGCTCCCTTCTGCAGCCCTCAGGGGTGGGGACCACCCACGGCTCCACGTGCTGCCACCTGGATGAGCGTTCTTCTCACTCCGCTGTCCATTCCAGATCGTGGCTTTGCAATCCTTGATCAGAAATTTATGTTCCTTTGAATCTCATGCCATTTAGATAATTTTTGGAAACTATGGGTTTTGCCTGGCATTTCATTTCAGTGAAATAGGATAGAATGAGAACAAATTGTAGTGCAGGTAATAAGGGCAATATGTTATTCTGAACAACTTGTGTTTCAGAGACACACACACATACATGCAAATGAGCACATATGTGTGTCCTGGATTATGATGCAATGGGTATTTCTTTCTGTGGGCTGTGGTTTAAAAACCTCCTTCTAACCCTCTCAACTTCTAGCTAATTGCATTTATCAAAATCTCTGGCACTTGGCTTAAATCTTCCTTTCCGTTTCTAGTCCTCTGTGCAGACTGTGGGGCAGCTACATCCATGTGGACAACTGGTTTCACACCTGAGCCCCCCGTTCCCTGACCGAGGAGACTCCAGGGACTGTCCCCCCTCTCATATACTTCAGCAGTGGTGGTAGATGAAGTTTCTTCACCAGGCACTATCAAACCACATCCTAGAAATTTTAGAAACCCTCAAAGTCCTTTTTCATAATCCTCACACATCTTTTAGAAGGCAAGGACTTGAATTGACATAAGGTTTTATTGAGCCTGGGCTATGGCCAGGTTTTGCTGTGACACTATTTGGCACTCTCATTTGGGAAGACTTTCCTTTCCATGGAGGTAAGATCTGAAGAATGAGTAACTCCTCAGGGAGTTGGCCATGCGCACCATGGCTCACAGTCCCTGGGAAGCCCGGGTCACCCCAAGCCTGCTTGGTGCTCCTGCCAGCTCAGGGCTGCCTGCCACCTGCCATGGCCTGGCCAGGTCTTCCTGAACTACAGTCCTTAGGGGTCAGAGTTTATTTATTTCTCTCTACACATAGATGACACTTGTTGGGTTCTTGCATCTTTAGACCCTGTGCAAGGGAGACTGGTCAGGGGTTATAATTCAGGGGGTCATGTTCACTGTCCTCTCACAAGCATTTGCTGCTTGAGCCCTCCTGTCCTGGGATGAGGTCCCTGCTGCCCCCAGGGGCTTGCAGAGCAGTGGGCTTTTAAAGGGTGCCTTGGCCCAGATGTGAAGAACCTGTTCGTAGGCCCAATGTCTGTCTTATAAGCTCCCTGTGTGGGTTAATAGCATTAATGTGTATTTCAAAGCTTCCAAAGCACATATGTAAGTTACACTCCATCTCTGACCCCAGATGACAAAAGCAACGATTCTCATTTCCTAAAGAATCAAGCAGAGACTCCTCAGCAGGGTCTCTTTTTTTGTGGTCCACCAAACTATCCTTCTCAGTTGGATCCTTTGTGATACCGCCCTGGACTTACCCTCAGGCTGCTCCCCTCACGCCCCCCACCCCAGACTGTGGCTCCTGCGGGCAGGTATGGGCAGGTGAATGGCTGCAACCAGCCTCTCTTGAGCTGTGCGCTGCACACTGTCGGGGTAGGCACCAGCGAGTGATGACTCGCTGCACTTCTCCAAAAGAAAAGCAGACTGTTTCCAAATAACTGCATTCTACCTACCCCAGCAGGGCGCAGCTCAAGAGGGGCTGGATGCAGCCATGCACCTGCCCGTACCTGCCCATAGGAGCCACAGGCTAGGGGGCAAGCAGCTTGATAGTGACTAATTATAGCACCAGGGGTTAAGAGCAATGTGCCGTGAGAACGTGGGACAGGGAGTTAATCCCAACTGAGTTGCTCAGAGAAGATGCCGCAGAGAAACTGGAGTTCAGGTGAGCACTGGGAGGCAATGGATAGGGAGAGGAAGATTTCCAGGCAGGAGCAGCAGCAGGGGCACGGCCGGGAGTGGGAAGTGGCCAGTACGTGTCCAGGAAGGAGCCTGCACGGGGGTGTGTCCAGGGCAGTATCACAGGGGATAATAACTTTATTAATAACTTTTCCAAATAACTTTATTCTTGAAACGTATCATTAAACTAGACTAATGGAAATTCTGCCTTTTTAGTTGCATTTTCTTGCCAGACGTTCGGTGGGAACACGCAAAGGAGACAGACCCTTCGAGCTGAGGGGCTGCTGAGCTGAGAGCAGCCGGGGCTGGCGCCTGCACCAGGGCTTCCGGCTGCTGTCAACCAGCGGGGAAAGCCCTCCAACGCCCACTGACACCAGGCCACCGTGTGCAGGACACTGCGAAGCCTGGGGGAGCTAGATGGAAGCTGTAGTCCAGGAAATCCTTCCACAACGGGGATTCAGCAAAGGTATTGGGGTGGCCACTTAGAAACAGGGCTGAATGAAATGCAAATCTTCCTTTATAATTAGAATACATCACATTAGAAGAAAATAATAGGGATCAATCTTTTCTTCTGCTTGCTGAAACGTATTTATTACTATCGTGCCTACCCAGAAGTGCCTCCTCAGTGCTCCTTATTTCACCAATCAGGAACTTGCCACCCAAAGTGGCACAGAAAGGACCCAGGAAGTGTTGAGGTTAAACTCACAGCACAGGGAATTTACTCTGCAAAATTACCTGGAGCCCTGGTGCCTCTTTTTCTACATTTATCCCACAATAATCTCTTGATAGCTCACTATATAGAAATCACTGTAGAGACCCAGAGATACGCGTGGTTTCATCTTCACACATATCTCTTGGTAGGAGATATTTTCATCTTCTACCACATCTCTTGGTAGGAGAGACACGACACATACAAAAGTACACAGCGTATGCATCGAGTGATACGGCGCAGAAGTACAGCATCCTCGGCCTGGAGGGGTTACTTTGGGCTTCCAGCATCTTCACACTGATATCTTTGCCTCCCTCCTCCTCTGTGCTAGACATCTCTCTTTAAATTAAGTTGGCTACGTACAGATTGCAAAGCTTCCCACGACCGACACAGGGACCACGATCTTACAGCCCAAGTGCCACCAATCATTAAAACCTCACTAACAATACAACATATGGTCTCCGTCCAAGTCACAGAGACACTTCACCTACACCTTTCACTGGGAATTCAAGTATCAATACTTTGGATGAAGGGAGAGAATCCCATCCCCAAGGATGGTCACCTCAACTCGAATCGCAAAGTATACTTTGCCCCTTTCGGCGGGGTTCCCAAAGGTTGGCAGGAGCTCCGTACCTGGGGAGGGACGTGATCTTCCCCCATTTCTCTATGCAGAAACGCCGGAGCCCATTGCTGCCCCGGAGGGCCGCGAAGCCTTCGTAGGGCACACTGGATGTGCCCGTGACGAACTGAAGCAGCCGCAGTCTCTGCTCGTTGTTGAAGCGCTCCACCGCGGCCCAGAACCAGCGGATCACCAGGTGCCCATCGTGGTAGCCTGAGTGGAGCAAGGGCGAGAGGAAGAGAGGATGTGGGGGGTGGGTGATGGAGGGGAGAGGGAGCACACACTCATCAGGACGGTAAGAGCTGAACAGCTGCTTTTGGACTGCTGATTTCTCTAATGACGGCCTTTAGATAGGACTAAAACAATTTGTGCCACTAGGTCAAGTGTTAAAGCAACCAGATTTAGAAAATAGTCATTTTGTAAAAGGACTTTATGTTCTGGGGGATGTCCTCAGAGAGGTCTGATTTCTATTTAAACAATTGGGACTCTGCTTGACCTATTCCTGCCTCACCTAAATGTCAACAAGGAACAGCAAGGCCTGGTAGAGACGCAACCCTTTATGAATTCAGTATTTCATCATCTTTTCTTTCCTCTGATGCCTCAGCTCTTGGCAGCCACATACCATGGGCGAGTCAAAAGCTTAAGAAGGGCTGCAGGGAAGCAGCAGGCGTGGTGCACAGGAGGTGCCTGGGCTGAGACACGCCGGGCCCATGGGACAAGCACTGGGTCCCTCTACTGTAAGTTGGGGAGACCAAGTTTGGACAAATCAGTTAAGGTCAAAGATTCACCACTGACGGCAAATGCAAGAAGTACTAAAAGATGGGAGAAATCTACATGGGCTGGGGCAGAAACAAAGAAAGCTTCAGCAAGGAAGGGGAGGGTAAGTGTAGCATGCAAAGGAAGGGGTTGTGTAAGTGGAGGGAAGGAGGAGGACATTTCTGGAAGCAAAAATACAGAATACCAAGAATGAGGAAAAAATATGCAGGGAACAGTAACCCACTGGCATAGAGAGGGTGTCTGGTGAAGATGGAAAGGAAAATTGCTGGGGGTGTTAAGGGCCTGAACAGCCAGGCAGAGACATTTTGACTTGACACATTAGGATCAGTGATTTTCTGTTGGGCCAGAGGGCCTGGGGGTCCCACAGTGGCTTCTCAGGAGTGAGTGTACTGGGGAGACAGGGAAAGCTGGGGTGGTGCCCATGCTCCCTCTCTCTGATGTCCCGATTAGGGTTTCTCTGCAATATTATACATGAAGGAAGAGTTTTAAGGCTAAAAGACCTTTGAGGAAAAAAGAATCTCTAAGTATTAAGGAGCTTGTTTTACGGGTAGGGAAGTGGCCCAGTGAAAATAATGTTCCCAGAAGACGAGTTTGGCAGCTGGCAAGGTGAGTAGTTAGCAGGGGTTAGAAATTGCATTAGCAGGGAGCACAGGTAGAATCGTGTGGTGACAACCCAGGATGGTGGCAGGGAGGGGTCCAATTCCACAGGAAGGGAGAGACACTCCCCTGGCTGCCCAGGGGCCGGTCCCCACATGGGGTGTCCTCTGTAAGCCTCTGCACCAGGTCAGGCCAGAGACTCTGCCAGTGGGGGTGACTGTCACCTGAAGGAAAGTTCAATTTGGAAGTTGGAGAAAGGCACGCACAGGTACCCGCTTTGTACTGAAGTAAGGCCAAGCTTTTTGTAGTCTTCAAAAAGTGACGAATTCTATATACATCCAACAGAATATTGCTCAGCTATAAAAAGGAATGAAAAACTGAAACACACTACACCATGGGTGAACCTCAAAACGGCACGCTAGGTCAAAGAAGCCAGACACAAAAGACCACATTTTTATGACTCTGTTTATAGGACGCATCCAGCGCTGGTCAATCCACAGAGACGGGATGCAGACTGGCGGTTGCCAGAGGTTGGGGGAAGGGGAGAATGGGGGTGAGAGCCGCTGCTTAATGGGCATAGGCTTACCTTTTTGGGTGATGAGAATATTTTGGAACTAGCTGGAGGTAATGGTTATGCAACATCGTGAATATACTAAATGCCGTTGAATGGTTCACTTTAAAATGGTCAATTTTATGTTACGCCAATTTCACCTCAACAAAAACATGTTTTAAAAAGTGACAGACTGTATCTGTGACAGTCGTATCATCACGGCGCCCGCCAGCTCACCTCCCCGGTACTCGGTGTTGTTCCGCCAGTCGTTCAGGTCGATTTCTGCAGTGCCAGCGATCACCAGCTCCAGCTCCCTGGCGTCGAACACGGACACCAGCCTCGAGTCTACCACCTGAAACAGAGATGTAGGTCCAAAAAAGTCCTTTTTTTCAACATGCAATCATTTTTAAGTTCAAAATTATTGCTGTGCCCTGAATATGTTTATATCACTTCCATCCCCCAAATTTATATGTTGAAATCTTCACTCCTGAGGTGGTGGCTTTAGGAGGTGGGGCCTTTGGGAGGTGACTTTGTCATGAGGACCTCATCCTCATGGGACCAGCGCTTTTATTAAATAGGCCCGAGAGAGACCCCTCGTCCCTTCTGCGGTGTGAGGACACAGTGAGAAGGCGCCAACCAGAAGGTGGCCCTCATCAGACATCAAATCTACTGGTGCCTTGATCTCAGACTTGAAATTTCTGCTGCTTTTAAGCCACCCAGTTTATGGTATTTTGTCAGCATCGAACAGACTAAGATAACCATCAACTCAAACATTTTAAAACACAACCCTTCATGAGCTGGGAACAGAAAAAAAGATCCTATGCTTTTTGCTACCTCTGATGTCCCCTCTTGGAATGATTTTGTAAACAAACCTGACTTGACCTTCTGAAGTCATATTTAAGTTTCCAAGTAACATTACATTTTAAAGGCAAAAAGTCCAGATCACTCTGAAGTGACTTAATAGCTATTAGTGTTATCATTTCAATTATACCATATTCTCTTTTTCACAACTATGACTCATTTCCCAAAACTCAGCATTTTATATTAAAACAATTGTATTTTCTTTATTTTTCCCCAACTCATTTCCTTTGGGCAGATAAAAACAATTGTATCTTCCTTCCCTTCTCAAACCACAGTCCTAAGGTTAAGAGTTTCATGCTCTAAAGACTGAGCTAGCCAGGCACAAATTTGTATTTTCCTTCCCTTCTCCCCTCACTTCCCTCCTCCCTCCTTTGAAGACCTGGGAGGCCCCATTTTGCCAGGGCCCTGTACTCTGGCTTCACATCTTGTGCCAAATGACCAGGCACAGCTGAGCACCTGAGATGGTGCCTCCTTTCATCAAATCAGGGGTGGACAGGACCGTGGCCGACACTGTTCTCCATTCTGGCGGGGAGAGAGAACCCTCCAAGACCCAAGACTCAAAAATACATTTACAGCCTCTTGTTTCTAAGCTGGAAAAGTTTAAGGACATCATTTTTGTGCACAGGAAGTCTAGCAGCTGCCCCTGTCTTCTCAATTTACCACTCAGCAAACAAACATCACTAACAAAACAGTGATGTTGCAGAGTGGACAAGACACCCCCAATGCCTTTACTTCCCTTATTTTTGTTTCACTGAGTGAAAGGAAACACCACGCACACGTATGTTGACAAGAGATGCTGTATGTTTTCACATTGGGCACACCAGGGGGCCTTGCCAACACCAGTTTTTTGAGAGCATTTTTCACCTACAACACGAGCTGGGTTTCCCAGGCAACTCTGCCCCTCAGCCATCCGCCCCACTGGGTGCTCGCTGCACCCTGCTGAGTAGTACTTGCCGAGCCTTTGCCAGCCTTAATTCTTCCACTCTGCTCTCACCACCTGAGCTGCTGGCCCCCCAGGAGCCTCCAGGAGCTGGCCCCCCAGGAGCCTCCAGGAGCTGGCCCCCCAGGAGCCCTCGGGCCTCACCTCGTAGAAGCCGCGCACCAGAGCCTCCGTCTGCTGCACCACGCCGCGCTCCACCCGCCACTTCACCATCCTCTCGATGTACTCCTTCTTGTTCTTCTCCGTCACCTGCGTGTTGGCTCCTCCAGACTTCAACTCCCTTTCCGTGACCTTGTAGGAGACAGAGAGATCGTGGTGCTTGTCAGTCAGCTTATCCCCTAGAGAGACGTACTGATTTTAGGGGAAAGATGGTTTGCGAAAGCCCTCTTTACACAGCGCTATTCAGTATTATTATCTCCTTGGTTCTTTTTCTTTTCCTAAAGGTCACTAAAAAGGCTCTGTGTGTTCTAAGCAGATTCTTAAGCACCTTGGAAGGGCTATATTTTCTGTTTGATAAGGAGGAAACAATTGTCCTTAACTCAAGTGACATAATAGAAATAAAAGGAAAATGTCCCAGGTCGTCCCTAATGGTGAGCCTGAATGGCCCAACACTACCATCATGTATTTGATGTCCCCAAATCTCAATTAGAGCAAATTCTTAGTGGCTGCCAGCTTCCCTCCCACAGCTGACCAGGAGAAGCAAAATGGCAGTGGGTAAGAAGATGGTTTTCACCACCAGGTATAGACTGGCTGAAGGGTGACACCCCGGGCAGCAGAAACATGCTGAAGTACACAAAGAAGGGCGCCGCCACTTAGTATGGCCAGGCATGTTTGTCAGGACAAGATTGAGTCATCGGGAAAAGCTATGATCTGTGCACTATCTTTTCAAAGACAAGAAGGTAGATAATATATCAGACATTTTTATCAACATGTGTTAGTGTTTGAAGGAGGGTAATCGCAGTTATCTGAAATTCACTTAAGGGTTCAGCTCAATGCTATAAGACAAATGAGGCATCACTGTACTTAGCTACTGGTTTAAAAAATATATAGATACATATTTGGCACTCTTAGACACAGGCACCTACACAAAACAGCCCACGAGTTACCTGATGGTTACTTCACAGGGTGATCAGTGTTAATTATAAAACATTAGCCAATTACAAAATACTAGCTGCCACCCAATATCCATATTTCTTGGAACCTCTGATCTTTAGCTGCCCAGTTAAAGACTTTATTTCTCAACCTCCCTTGCAGTTAGGTGTGGCATATAACTAAATTCTGGTCGATGGGATGCAAGCAGAATTGTTGTATGGCACTTTCAGGAGGCTCCTTGAAGAGAGGGGCTGTGCGTTCCTTTGTCCTGATGCTTTGAGCACAGTCGTGATGGTTGGGACGCCAGAAGGAGCTGGAAGGAACTTGGTCTCAGGGGATTTCATCAAACAGAGCTCCCAAACCAGCCTTGGATTGCCCACCTCCAGATTTTGATGTGAGAAAAAAAATAAACTTCTATTAACTTCAGCAGGGTCATTTTGGGCTTCTTCACTAGAAGCTGAACCTAATCCTAACTAATACACCTAAGGAAAAAGCCCACAGTGTAGAAAAAGCATCTATCTGCTCTCTACTGCTAATAACTTGTCAAAAGAGGGCTGTAATTCAATCTTCTAAAACCAAAGTCTTGGTGACCTCCTTTTGAAGAGAAATAAGATAAACTTTCAACAGATATACATTGACCCTTGAACAACACAGATCTGAACTGTGTGGGTCCACTTATATGCACATTTTTTTCAACAGATATATTAGAAAATATTTTTGGAGATTTGCAGTGATTTGAAAAAAGCTCAGATAAATTGCATAGCCTAGAAATAGTAAATAAGTTAAGAAAAAGTTAGTATGTCATAAAAGCATAAAATATATGTAGTTACTAGTCCAATTCATCATTCATTACCATAAAATATACACAAATCTATTATAAAAAGTTAAAATTTAGCAAAAGTTATGCACATAAACACTTAGAGACCATACATGGCACCATTCCCAGTTGAGAGAAATGTGAACAAACATAAAGGTACAGTATTAACCCACGACTCCATAAAATTAACTGTAGTACATACTGTACTATTAGAATAATTCTGTAGCCACCTCCTGTTGCTATTGCAGAGAGCTCAAGTGTTGCGACTATCTGCTTAAAACGCTCTGTGACGTTCCCTCATCATCTCCATGTGAGCAGGTCGTCTCTCCAGGAAAAGGCTTGTCACGGGACAAAGTGATCTCTCTTGGTTCCCACATATTTTTCATCGTGTTTAATGCAATACCATAAACCGTTAATAACACCATAGGACCCACATGAAGTGCCACTAGTGAGGCTGGAAGGGTTTCCAAGAAGCAAAGTCATGACATTACAAGAAAAAATTGAATTACTTGATTTGTACCTAAGATCGAGGTCTGCAGCTGTGGCTGCCCACTCTTTCAAGATAAACGAATCCAGCGTAAGGACCATTGTGAAAAAAAGAAAGGAAATTTGTGAGGCCGTCACTGCAGCTATGCCAGCAGGTGCAAAAACCTGGCATTTTTTTGGTGAAATGTCTTTTTATCTCATGTAGAAAATGCAGCTTTTATGTAGGTGCAGGATTGTTACAAGAAAGGCATACCTATAGACTTGATTCTGGAAAAAGCGAAGTCATCATATGAAATTTAAAGCAAAAGGAAGGTGAAGGATCTAAAGTTGGGGAATTTAAAGCCAGAAAAGGATGGTTTGATAATTTTAGAAGGAAGTTTGGCTTAAAAAATGTCAAGATAACAAGAAAAGCAGCTTCTGCCGACAAGTTCCCAGATACCATCATTGAGGAGAAAGACTATCTGCCTGGACAAGTTTTTAATGCAGAAGGCAGTGCCCTATTCTGGGAAAAAAAAATGCCACAAGGACATTTATTAGTAAGGAAGGGACGCGAGCACCAGAATTTAAGGCAGGAAGGAATAGGCTAACTCTACTGCTCCGTGCAAATGCATTCAGGTTCATTATCAGGACTGCCCTTATCTATAAAGCTTTGAAAGGCAAAAATAAATACCAGCTGCCAGTCTTTTGGGTGAACAACAGGAAGGCCTGAACAGGGAGAACCCCTTTTCTGGATTGGTTCCATTGATGCTTTGTCCCCGAAGTCAGGAAGCACCTTGCCAGTAAGGGACTGCCTTTTGAAGTTCTTTTGACGATAGAATATACCCTTGGCCACCCAGAAACCCATGAGTTCAACACTGAAGGTGTCAAAGTGGTCTACTTGCCCCCAAACACAATGTCTCTAATTCAGCCTCTAGATCGGGGGACCTGTAATGGTTGTTACACTCGGCACTCTATGGAAAGGACTGTCAACACTACGGAGGACCCCAACATCGTGGAGAGAACATCGTGGAAGTCTGGCAGGATTACATGGTTGAAGATGCCATTGCTGTTATAGAAAAAGCTGTGAAAGCCACCGAGCCAGAAAGAACAAATTCCTGCTGGAGAAAACTGTCCAGTTGTTGTGCATGGCTTCCCAGGATTTACAGCAGAGCCAGTCAGGGACATCGTGAAGAAGATTGTGGATAAGGCAAAGATGGCGGGGTAAAGGGTTTCAAGATATGGATCTTGGAGAAACACAAGCACCGACAGACACCACACGAGAAGAATCAGCAGAAGATGACTTGATGGGGATGAGAGCTTCCCAGCCAGGGCCAGACGAGGAAGATGTAGAAGCCACAGTGCCAGAAAACAAATTGACACTGGACAGTCGGACAGAAGGGACCGATTATTCACAACTGCTTTTGACTCCTTTTGTAACATGGACCCTTCTGTGAGCAGTGAAACGAAAGCAAATGGTGGAAGAAGGATTGGCAGTACATAGAAACATATTTTAGAGAAATGAAAAAGCAGAAAAGTCAGATGGAAATTATAAAGTATTTCCCTGAAGTGACACCAAGCATGCCTGCCACTCCTTTCACCTCCTCCACCTCTTCTCCCTCTGCCACCCCTGAGACAGCAAGAGTTCCTCTTCCTCCTCCTCCTCCTTCCTTCCTCCTCCTCTTCCTCCTCCTCCTCAGCCTACTCAATGTGAAGACGACGAGGGTGAAGACCTTTATGATGATCTACTTCCACTTAATGAATTATAAACATATTTTCTCTTCCTTATGATTTTCTTTTTTCTTTTTTTTTTTGAGACAGAGTCTCGCTTTGTTGTCCAGGCTAGAGTGAGTGCCGTGGCGTCAGCCTAGCTCACAGCAACCTCAATCTCCTGGGCTCAAGCAATCCTCCTGCCTCAGCCTCCCGAGTAGCTGGGACTACAGGCATGCGCCACCATGCCCGGCTAATTTTTCTATATTATTAGTTGGCCATTAATTTCTTTCTATTTATAGTAGAGACGGGGTCTCACTCTTGCTCAGCCTGGTTTCAAACTCCTGACCTTGAGCAATCCGCCTGTCTCGGCCTCCCAGAGAGCTAGGATTACAGGTGTGAGCCACCGTGCCCAGCCTTTTATGATTTTCTTAATAACATTTTCTTCTCTGCAGCTTACTTTATGGTAAACCTGCAGTGCATAATACATGCAACATACAAAATATGTGTTAATCCACTGTTGATGTTATCAGTAAGGCTTCTGGCCAACAGTAGGATATTAGTAGTTAAGTTTTGAGGGAGTCAAAAGTTATACACAGGTTTTTGACTGCCCTTAACCCCTACGTTGTTCGAGGCTCCATTGTACATTATTCTAGATCGACAACACATACTTATTTTTATCACTGGGAACATTTAAACTTCTGAGTTGTTCAGTTCCTAGTTCCTACACTTTATACACATAAAGGATTGTTCTTTTGTATCTTCAATATTATTCTTTTCTCTAATGTTATGCATTCAGTTATTTGTTGTTGACTTTATTTTTTGAATAGATAATATGTGTCTGTGGAATAAAATTCAATTGGCATAAAAGGCCATGAAATGAAAAGGAAGTTTCTCTCCTACTTCATCTCCCAGGCATGCATTTTCCCTATCTGCAGAAAGTCACCTCTATTCCCCTGCCAGGGGGATTCTATGCCTATCCTAGGGAATATGTATGTATCATCTCTTTTCCCCTGAAAACAGTAGCGTATTATATACACTGTTCTTCACTACCTTTTTTTTTTCTCTTAAAAATAAGTCTTAGAAACTGATTCATACCAATTTAGACCTTTTTTTCTCTTTTTCTTTTTTAAGACAGGGTCTTGCTCTGTCACCCAGGCTGGAGTACAATGGCTCGATCATAGCTCACTGCAGCCTTGAATGCCTGGATTCAAGTGATCTTCACACCTCAGCCTCCCAAGCAGCTGGGATGATAGGCATGCACCACCACAGCTGGCTTGTTTATTTTTTATAGATAAAAAATTTATAAATTTTTGGTAGATATTGAGGGGGGCGTGTCTCGCTGTGTTGCCCAGGCTGATTATTCTTTGTTGTTGTTATTGTATCCTTTTTATTGTTTATGATTTATATGTAAATTGATTGGCTGGGATGTTTCATACTTTTTAATAGCAACATGTGATTTCACTATTCCGTTTTGTAAGCGTATCATTTATGTAACCTGTGCTCTACTACTGGACACTTAGATTGTTTCCAATATTTTGCAATTATCAACAATACTGCAATGAAGATCGTAATACATTTCGTTTCAATTAGGTGTGAATATATCTATAGGACAAATTCCTAGACATGGACACTGAGTCAAAGGCATGTGATTTGAAATATGGATAGATATCACCAAAGTGCCTTTCACAGAAAGTGAACCAAACTTCTATCCACAATACACAGGAGGGCCTGTTTCTCACCATTTCCAAATTACCATACTACTAAATTTTCTGATTCTCGACATTCTAATAATAGAAAATGGTATTTCACAATAGCTTTAGTTTACATTTTTAAAACTTGTCAATGAGGTTGAGTGTCTCCTCAAATTTCCTTTTCTGTGACTGTCTATTGATATTCTTTGGTAATCTTCTAATGGATTCTTTGATCATTTCTTATTGATCTATGAGTCTCTTCTGACATTAAAAGAAATAACCTTTGTCTGTGTTATGTAGTAAATATTACGTCACTTTCACTTTGTTTATGGTATATTTTGCTCTGCAGAATTTAAAAATAATTTTAACTCACTATGTCAATCTTTTTTTTCATGACTTTGAGAGTCTGTGCCATATCTACAGCAACACTCCTTACTGCAAGATTAAAAATTTAAAAACAAATGTTTCTAGCAGAAAACTTGGTTCCTTAAAAAAAAAAAAACAAAAAAACAAAAAAAACAAATGTTTCTTTTTTCTTTTCTTTTCTTTTTACACTCAGTGTTTTGATCCAGCTGGAAATTACGTCAGTGTAATGAGTTAGGTTCGGGATCTAACTAAAAAATTTTTAAGATGCCTACAGTTGTTTTCATATAATT